TCTGCCGTCATGAATTCCGCAAATTATTTCTTGAAGGCTTCTGCAGTGGCCTTGTCAGAACTGGAAGCCTCACTATGTCTTGTCACACTGTGGGTGCTACTTCTCTTGCGGAATTTTTCAAACCACTCTCTACTGGCTTTAAATTCTTCACTGGCTGCACTTGTAGAGGGCTTTTTTTGCAGTAAATCACTGTGCAATTTTCTGGCTTTTTCACAGATCATAGCTACACGAATGCTGTCACCTGTTTCTCATTCAACCACACTAAGGCTACGTTCACACTAGCCTTGTGTGCAGGCGGGAGAGAGGCGTTTGGGAAGCGTTTTTACCGCTTCCCAAACGCCTCTGCCAATTCTGCACATTACAGCACATGGTGCTCTTCTAACGGGAGCGTTTGCGTCGCGTCGCGGCAAAACGGACGCCTCTGGAGGAGTCAGGAGGCTTTGAAGCCTCCTATTCTCATCTATGGTGCCGCTCCACAAACGCCCGGCCGGCGTTTGCGGTGCGGTTGCGACGCGGTTGCGGGGAGTTTGCGGAGCGGTAACACCACTCAAACTGCATTATAGGCGTTTGTGGGGCGTTATTAATGCTCGGCAAACGCCTAGCAACCGCCGCTAAACCGCACATGCGGCGTTTGTAGAGCGTTTGCCGAGCGTTAAACGCTCCGCAAACGCCGGACCAACGCTTGCCAAATGCTATAGGGGAGTTTGGCAAGCGTTGGCAAAACAGCCTAGTGTGAACGAGCCCTAACAAACGTTTTTTCCACTTCTTCCAGCACTTGCGTCCTCTGCTTGGTTAACATCGTTACTCCTTTTGCCACATCAGGTCCTTTGACGGCAGCTTTCTTCTTCAAAATAGTGGAGATTGTTGACTTCGCCATCTTGTACTCCGAGGCCAGATCAGTCACACGAATACCACGGTCATGCTTTTTTGCAATTTCCTTCAACTCAATGGTTATTTTCTTTACAGCCTTATTCTTGCCATTCTTGCTCTGCATTTTTTTTTCACCACCATGCTTGCTCTGCACATTCTCGTCACCTTAATTACCACTCTGCATGTTTTGGTCACCTTCATTACCACTCTGCACTTTTTTTTTTACCACCATGCTTGCTCTGCACATTCTTGTCAATTTCATTACTGCTCCGCACTTTCTTCTTACCACCATGCTTGCTCTGCATATTCTTGTCACCTTCATTACTGCTCCCCACTTTCTTCTTACCACCATGCTTGCTATGAATTTTCTTTGGAGCCATACTGGATGTCCGGTACAGTATGTGCTAAAAAGCACACCAAAAAGCTTCTCAGTACTGTAAATGTCTTCACAGTACACTTTCAGTGTCTGTCTGTGACCACAATCTCGCCTACAGGAAGTCACAACCACGTGTCAGAGCAGGGAAGATGGCCACGGCTTGTGTTCGTCAACTGAAGTGGAGTTCGCAAACCAAAGCAAATTTTTGAGAACTCTTCTGTTCACGAACCGAGTTGTTCGTGAACAGAAGCGTTCGTGAACTGAGGTATCACTGTACATACCTGAACAGAATGTTTTCAGGGGGGACTGAAGTTGTTCTTGACAGCTGGGCTTCACAACCACAAGCTGCACAAAGTGTTGGCTGGGGGATGACATTTATTAACATATCCTCCACGCTGAACACCGGGATGAAGAACTTTATATAATAGCTGTTCCTGGGAAAGGGTTAAGTAAAAAGGCTAACCTTACACTCTTGTGTAAGTATCCATTTTTAGTTTTGACTTTACTAAATGAAAATGGAGCATTTATTTATTACAGGTACTTCTATAGAGCCATCAATTTACGCAGCACTTTACATATATATTGTATATTTCACATCAGTCCCTAACCCTCAAGGGGCTACAATCTAAAGCCCCTAACTCACATTCATGCTTTAGTGTGAAATGGAAAAATAAATATAGTAAATCATGGTAAGCAGAAAAAGACATTCTATGTAAATAGCAACAGACACATTGGGGGTTATTTACTAAAACTGCAAAATCTGGTGCAGCTCTTCACAGAAGCCAATCAGCTTCCAGCTTTTATTGTCAAAGCCTAACTGAACAAGCTGAAGATAGAAGCTGATTGGCTACCATGCACAGCTGTACCGTATTCTGAGTGCACCAGTTTTAGTAAACCTACCCCATTGTCTAAATAACTAAACAATAACTATGTAATGCAGCTGCTCCTATTCAGCCACTGAAGTTTGTTTTCATCAGCCAGAAGCCCCGTGTTTTGATGCTTGTCATCAAGGATGATCACAAGTGAAGTGAGTTAGGACACCTGGCAGCAAGTTTCTGGAAGAGCTCATTGTTACATATAAAAGTGACCAGAAGGATCAGTCAAGCCCTGGGGCCTTCTCTAATCTTCTCTATCTGAGCCCTGACAGTTTAATGCTCCAAGATGAGGCAGTTAATATAAAACTTCTGAGCTCATCAGCAGCAGGAACATACTTAAACTAAAGATCCAGCGATTTGTCTATTCTACGGATGTACCAAATCATCAATTCAAGAGAGAGGTTGTGAATAAGCTGTAAATATAAGGGCTGTACTGAGAGTAATGCAAAAGTAGGCATAACTTTAACTTTTTCATTACGATTAGTCGTTTAAATTATACATGTTGATACAGTAACTCTTCCTCCATTGCAACCCTTCAGAAGTTGTGATCTACCTGGACAACATGGAGGAAGTCAAAGATCCTTGGGGGTGCGGTGCCCTTTTTAAAAAAATACATTTATCAAGCCCCCAATAAAAAAACTGCCCTGCCCCCCAATAGCAGTGTCCTCTGCCCTCTTCACATCACCCCAACTGCCCTCCTCTGCACTCCCCCCCCCCCCCCCCCCAACAGTAGTGTCTTCTTTCCTTCCCCCCCCCAGCAGTGTCCTCTGCCCCCTTCACATCATCCTCCAACACAAACACACAGATGTTGTAGGTAGCACTCTCCTACCTTACAGCGGGTGTACAGCAGAGTGGAGAGTGTAAGCAGCACAGTACTGGATGAAGGGCAGGAGTGGGAGCTGCCGGAGTTACCTTTTCATATTAGCAAGCTGCTGATTGGATGCCAGGACGCCGTGCAATCCTACCAACCAATCATCTAGGGGTTAACTCGAATGGTTGACTGAGGCAGCTCCTTCTCCCGCACTACGTCCAGTACTGCGCTGCCTCACGCTCTCCGCTCTGCTGTGAAGATGAGAAGGAGTAGGCTGAGGAAAAGGACAGAGAAAGCAGGGACGTGTTTGTGATCTACCCATTGACTGCCCACACTTTACTGGTAGATCATGATCAATGGGTAGTCAACCCCCGCTCTAGAAAAAACTTTTCTTTTTTCATTGCAGGTATAAAACAGATTCCAAGCTGAAGCAATGTGCTGTCACTGAGGTCTTGACGAAGGAGGGGTGCAGGCTGTTGGACATCCACAGAAGGCTACAGAATATTTACGGAGATGACAACATTGACAATGTCTTGTCAATGGTGTCATTTCTGTAAACATTCTGTAGCCTTCTATGGATGTCCGACAGCCTGCACCCCTCCTTCAAGAGCACAATGACGGCACGTTGCTTCTGCTTATAATCCATTATTTACTATGCATGAAGAGTTACTCTACCAACATGTGAAATCTGAAAGACCTACATAAGGGCAACTAAAAAAAAAAAAAAAGAAAGAAGAGTAGTGCCTACTTTTGTATTACTTTCGGTACAGTCTTCATACTATGGAACCCTCAAGTTTCAGAAAGAGAACATCAATGAAAGCTACAAAAAATACCACACAGCCAAACAAATTAAAGAATCAAAAAACAAAAAGTAGACAAGAAAAAGAATTACAAGTAAACTAACTGCAAACAGCTAAAAATCAAATTTTAATATATTTTAATTTTGCATAGCTACTTACAAGCTGCATTGCTTTCCACTTTCCTTTACCTCTCAGTTTCCAGCTGCAAAATATCCCCCCTGTATTTCATAATTTGTTCCACTGCTGTGGCTATTACAAAACAAAACAAATGATTCTGGAGATCCTAAGTCGAAGGTTTGTAGACTCTGGTCATGGAAAGTTTCTTTGTATCAAAGATCTTTTGTAGTTGGACGTCATGAGAAAAATCGATCTGACAGCCTAACTTTTCAGCCATTTTCTGCCGGACAATTAATATTTTTGCATATCTATTTTACAGCTCAGAATGGTTCATTGATAATACAGAATTTCAATGAGCATTTCTGTAGTTTAAAGCATTATTTCAATATTGCACGGTTGTATCCATATTTTATGAATGAATGCTCTTTACAGCAGATAAGCTTTATATTGTTTATGGAATTATTTGTGTAAAATTATAACTTGCAGAAAACATCTTTTACAAGTCTAAGGAACATCATCTTATGTCTATAGGCAGCCTTTGTCACAACAATAATGTAGTATTAAACCCTCAGCGTTTTTTAGTTTAATGCATCGAGCCCAATAAAATGATCATTCTCCAGTATACTATTAGTTAAAATTCTTACCCAAGCACTTGCAGTTTAAGATTTTGAATTTGATCCGTTGTGAAATCGGAAGCCAGTGGAGGGATTGGCAGAAGGGGGTGGTGGAAACGGAGCGGTTGGTAAGGTGAATGAGTCTGGCTGCCGTATTCAGGATCAACTGAAGCGGGGATAGCCAGCAACGAGGCAGGCCAGTGAGGAGGGAGTTGCAGTAATCGAGTCGTGATATGATGAGGGAGTGGATGAGCTGTTTAGTGGTTTCTGGGGTTAGGAACGTGCGGATTTTGGCGATGTTGCAGAGGTGGAGTCTGCATGAGTTTGTTAGTGATTGGACTTGGGGCTGGAAGGATAGGTTGGAGTCCAGAATGACACCAAGTACTCTGGCCTGCGGGGCGGGCCTGATAGTGGCATTGTTGGACGTGATGGAGAAGTCAATGGGGGGTGGTGTGCGGGCTGGGGGGAAGACTAGGAGCTCTGTTTTGGAGAGGTTCAGTTTAAGGAAGTGAAGCGACATCCAGTCTGATATGTCGTTTAGTAGGTTTGTGATTCGGGTGGAGACTGAGGGGGTGAGGTGGGGGGCTGAGAGATAGATTTGCGTGTCGTCGGCATAGAGGTGGTAGTTGAAGCCCTGAGAGTGTATGAGTTGGCCAAGGGAGGAGGTGTAGATGGAGAAGAGAAGGGGCCCGAGGACGGAGCCTTGAGGGACGCCAACACAGAGGGGTAGTGAGGGGGAAGTGGTAGCGTTATAGGTAAAGCTGAAGATCGTTGTATGTATTTACATATTTGAATGCTACAAATCTTAAATGTGCCATCAATACAAAATGCTGTAAATTTAAAGGTCTCACCTTGCTGCACCACAATGCCGCAGTCGGGGTCCTGAGCTACTTGTAACAATACTTCTTCCACATCCCGGTTCCTACCCGGCTGATCCATGAAATCTGTTATTTTCTGTTGTAAAGTCTTTGGCAGATTCATTAGTTGTAGAAACTGGCCCTCTGGGCTCTTATCTACCTAGGGTGATGAAACACATACAGGTATGAAAATACAGACGATTTTATCATACAATTGATAAACATCTACTAGCACTGGCCACCTGCCCAAATAATTACGGTGATATGACAATACCAGAATCTGGAGAGATACTGCAGCCAGCTTTTACAACATTCCAGTATTAATTACTTGTCACATGTAAGTTTTATGATGAACTTTACAATGTAACGAAGCTTGCACAGAATCCTTGAAAGAGTTTTGCCAGGATTGGACCCTTTTTTTTTTTCATCCACAGAAAAACGTATGCACACATGGGTATTTTTTCAATTCATTATAGATCTGGTGACATCTTAGAGAAATTTTGTATGTTTTTAAACAGGTTGAAGAAGTGCACCCTGTAGAAATAGAAAGAAATAACCCTACCACCACACATCCCACCCAACCTGAGTGGTTAGCAGGTAAAAGCAGCCTCAGCTCGATTTATCCAAGCCATGTCCCCAAAAGTTTCACTCTGTCCCGGGGGGGCTTAATCATGGATCTGCATGATTAAACCCTAGGGATGGGGCAAAACATATTAGGGGCATGGTTTGGATTTATTGAGCTGAGACTGCTTTTACCTGCTGAACCACTTGTGACGGGCAGGGTGTGCAGTGGTCAGGTTGTCTCTTCCGATTTCCACAGTGTTCTTTGGGTCTGGACGAACCTCTCCCCAGCCTGCATCCTCACTAGTCAGCGGAATCCAATTCATGGGACCTTTTTAGCCTGAGCGGTGGCCACTAAGCATTTATCGTGGGTCACAGGTTGAAGTGCATGTGGTATAAATTAGTAATTTTAATTGTAGCCTTAAAAATATTTGCAGTGAAAGCAATTGTATTTTAAATCATAATTGAGAAAAAAAAAATCATGACCCGCACCATCAAAAGCAATTAACACAACTGCAAAATTAAACAAAATGGTGCTGCGTTCCCACACTATACCTATATATATTGCTAAATCAAAGTGAGGTTAATAATGATCCCCTTATAAATCCACCTGTGTATAATGACAAAAATCAACAGTTATCAATACTATGCAATCATATACAATGATATATCTTATATATTAAACAAAACCATAGAAAAAAATTAAATGGAAAACACACAAAAAAAAAACCCACAATACATAAAAACACACTTGTGTCCCTAAACAGGTTGAAATAACAAATATCACTATACCACACGTGATAAAACACTTGGCATAAAATGAATGCCCAAAAAGGTGTAGTGAAAAAATAACTGACAAATGACACTATTGTGCCTAAACAAACAAGCAATAGGACCGTCAGGATAAATTAACCTGACTAAAAGACAATGCTCAAGGAATATTGAAATCGTTCCACAGAAATGTGCAACCAACATGTGACAAGTGCCCACATGAAAGGTATATTTATAAGTTTATATACCATGCTCAAGTCCCCAAACTTGGGATTATACTGCTATATAAATAGCTGACAGATAGGTGAAAGTACAAATTAAATCAAGTGACACTCTAAAATAAAAACTTAACTTGAATTCATATGCAAAAAAGTAGTGCCACCAATTATATATAAAACTAAAACAATCGTCCACGTGTGTGATCTTCAATATAGCTGGATATATTGAAAATTCCAGCAATAAACATAAATATTGCAGGTAAAAAAAAAAAAAAAGGTGGGATCCTTTACCGGTAAGATTGCCCCCCCCAACTTCATGAGGCAACCCCACAGGGTCAAAAAGCTTTCATGCTATTAGGCGCAGCCAACTGCTTAATCCTCCAAGTCAGGTTCGGTATCACAAATAGTGGTGGTATCCCCCTTCAGAACTTACAGGTATCACCGATCCTGATATCCAGGTGGTTTTCATATGGTCGAATTAAAACTCAGCTTCCTCGTCGGTGTTATAAAGACAAGAAGAATTCTTGCATAGTGTGATATTGTTTCATTTATTTAAATATTAAAATGCAATAAATGCTCACTCACATGTATTGAGCAAAAACCATGCTCACAAGACCTCATAGGACCTCCTGGGTGTACTCCTATGGGTGTATCAAAATGGCGCTCGCGCCGGAAGTGACGTTTCCGCGTCTCCGTCTCTCGTCCAATGCATTGCGTCACGTACCATGTGACTTCCTCAGGAACATTTTAATCTGAGTCATGGGTGGCCCTGCTAGCATACCCCAGCTCAACAAAAGATTATTTAAAAATTAATATATCAACTGAGCAGGGTGGAATATTATCGGCCAAACAGTGACAGTATCCAGGAGTCTTTGGTCTGGTTGAGTGACAATACAGATCTTTTCATTCTTCAGCAGTGGGGAGATCCTGAATACTACAGACTGCAGCACCATGTAATGACCTGTCACAATTCTCTGCAGCAATCACCGGAGTCCAGGGTAGACTTGTGAAGCTCCATGGTCACAGCAAGAGATAAATCAAAGGACAGTGCTGGAGTTTTGTCAAGTATTGCAGCTGAAGCCAAGTGGTATTAAACCCCAAATCAAAAATGTAATATATGCAGCTTGCCAATCATTAAATGTAGTGGCTGCATCATGTTTTCTTTTCTAGGCTTTTTTCTCTTCTGTGATCTGGCCAGTAACACGCCACCTGTATTAGAGGGCCTCCCCTCTGGATAAAGGAACACAGAGGAACCTCTGGACAGCAGCACTGTCAGTCTGGGGAAGGGGGTGTTAGATGTACTAGCAGATTTAGATACACTAGCAAATTGAAGCTTAACTCCAGTTAACAGTTTACAAGCAGTTACAGCAAACAGTTTTTTTCCCTTTTGGGATTGTATTTATTTTACATTAACAAAATGTGATCATTGTAAGCACCCATATCAAAACTAAATAAATTTGTTGCATCCCTCTAACTGCTACATCTATAGCACAGCTTGGTCTTTTGAAAAAAAATAACAGACTTATTGTCCAGGTCACCAGGTGAAAATAAAGGACAGAAAGCCTAAAAAGAAAATGAATGCAGCCATCACATCTAAGAATTGGTAAGCTGCAATATAAGTGTTTGCTTTTTGGTTTATGGTTTAATATTGCTTTAACCGCCTCCCACCCACCATATAGTAATATGACGGACGCAAGGCGGTTCTTTCGTTCTGGGAGGACGTCATATGACGTCCTCCCATTCTCACTGCGCATGCGCGGCTCAGGGAGCGTACTGCGCGACGATCGGTGGTGCGCTGTGTCCCTCGGACACAGCGGATCACCGATCTACGGAAAGAGCCGAAGATGTCGGCTTGGTCATGTGATCAGCTGTGTCTAATCACAAATGATCACATGTAAACAGGGAAATGCCGGTTATCGGCATTTCTCTCCTCACGAGCTGTCACGCTGACAGCTCGTGAGGAGAGGAGAGCCAGTAATCGGCATTCCTCGGGGAGGACATGTACACAGATCATCAGGGCACTGATGATCAGTGTGCCCTGATGATCTGTGTAGCCCCAGCAGCACCACCTGTCAGTGTCCATCAGTGCCTGCTCTGTGCTCATCCATGCCACCTGCCAGTGCCCCTCAGTGCCACATCAATGCCACATATCAGTGTCAATCTGAGCTGCCTTTCAGTGCTACCTATCAGTGCCACCTATGAGTGCTATCAGTGGCAGTCCGTGCCACCTATCAGTGTGCATCAGTGCCGCCTAAACAGTGCCATATATGAGTGCTGCCTTTCAGTGCCCATCAGTGCCACCTATCGGTGCCTCCTCATCAGTGCAGCATCAGTGCAGCCTCATTAGCGCACATCAGTGAAGGAGAGAAATCACTTTCCAAAATTTTATAACAAAAAACTACTTTTTTTTTTTTTTTTTCACAATTTTCACTGGTTTTTGATTTAAGAAAAAAATAAAAAAAACCCAGAGGTGATTAAATAGCACCAAAATAAAGCTCTGTCACAAAAAAAATGATAAAAATTTCATATGGGTACAGTGTTGCATGAGCGCGCAATTGTCATTCAAAGTGCAACAGCACTGAAAGCTGGAAATTGGCCTGGGCAGGAAGGGGGTATAAGTGCCTTGTAGGCAAGTGGTTAAACTGATGCTGGTGATTTTTATGTCTTTCCAAGCTGAAGAACATGCATATTTAAAAACCCTGCACCTTCATACTATGTCTTCAAATATCATAAACCTCACGGAGATGATTACCTCTACTTTACCCAATGTAGGTTTGTAAACAGCCTGAGGACACTCCTGGAGTATGCCACTGTACAGCTTCTGAAAATGGCCAATGTTTGGTTTGACAATGTTCATCACCTTGGCTTTATCTTCACCAATTATCATGCGGAAGTCACCTAAACAGAGGAAAAATATAACATAGTATAGGTATATTAAAACTAAAATAATGTTGATTAGTAAATACAGAAGTCCAAATTAGCAATTTATTCAAAAGACAACAAACTGCCTGAATAAACATTTACATTACAAGCAGAACTCCGGCAAATATATTTTTCTGGACTAATGTGTAGATTAGATGCTTAAAGTAGAACTAAAAGGCAAAACTTTTTTTTGTTTTGGATAGAGTGGAGAGGGATTAGAAAGCTTGTCATCAACTACAATCTGCATAGATGTAAACCTAGCCTAAATAAAAAAAAGATGAGACTGTGTTGGTTTAGAACAAAATATTTCTAGGCTAAAAATTGTGCTTCCGCTCTGTGAGGACATCAAGAGATGAAACAAGTAGGGCGGGGCTTTTGGAGGTTACGTCACTGCGATTAGCGAGCTGTCGGCATCTACGTACACAAACCACTTTTTTTTTTTGTACGTGATTATGGTCGGCCACAATAGCCACCAGCAGTGATCATTGTGGTTTGCCGGCAGGGAAGGCTCCCTGCCAGCACAACACAATAGTACTACGGGAGGGAATTCCTTTCACCAACACTTACTAGGTTGATGGGGGAAATCCAGCAATTTTCTTTCCTTCTACGTGGTGTGGAAGGAAAGAAAATTGTATAATCTATGGCTTGCTATACGAAACGTGAGGTACTGAAGCAGGTTGGGTTGCAGAAGTAAGAAGTAAACCGCTAGAGTGTTTGCTTTTATGTGTAGACAAATATTGTTATATTTGTGTTCACTCTATTTACCCTTTTCTAATTTGGTCCAGTCCGGTCACATGATCCAGCAGCTAATGCTTCTCTGTGTCAGTGAGCGGCTGCTGTAGAGGAGAGGAAGGAGCACTGACAATGGATGGGCCATGGGAGCTTATGGGTAATGTCACAGCTCTGGGAATTCACTGCCATCATCAAGAGGTTGAATGTGCTGAATCACATGACCAGACTAGATTAAAGTGATCCTAAAGGCTGAAGGTTTTTTATCTTCATCCATTCTATGCATGAAGGTAAAAACAAAAATCCTTTAGTGTGCAGCTCCCCCTTCAGCCCCCTTATACTCACCGGAGCCTGATCTCGATCGAGCGATGTGCACAAGAGCAGAAGCTCTCCCGAGTCTCTGCCTCCTCATTGGCTGAGACACAGCACCAGGGGCTACTGGCTCCAGCTACTGTCAATCACAGCTTGCTTTGGGGGCACTCAACAGGGGATAGGGGTCTGGGGCTATGGCGGGGAATCCGACAAGAGCCTTTACTAATTAGTTTAATTAATTATGCACTTTGTGCCTAACGATGGTGTATTTGGCTTTAGGTTATTGCCATCCCCTCGGTCTCCTGATGCAGTCACCCTGATGAAATGTGTAGAGACAAGAGGTGAGAATGCGAAATGCAATTTTACCAGTCAGATTTTATTAAAACAAAGCTGTCCTATGACAATTGTCTTTAACTTCATAAGATCACCTAATAAAGCCTTCGGGAATCCCCTGCTTGGCAATACCGTTCTTTGATCTTGAGGGACATTTTTCAATTCCGTCGCACAGCAAAGCAATGAACATAAACAGGAGCAATGAGTCTTATTGTGAGACAGATTTATTATAAAGGTTACAATCTGAGTCATAAAATCCCCCACTGGCTGCTCTAAAGTCACACTACAAGGGAATGAATCCTGACCCTGACCACTTCTTAAAGTGAAACATTACGATAAATGTTGGCAAACACTGTGGTAGATTTTTTAATACAGAAGAGAGATCCTATGCATATTCTGTATTAAAGTATTTTTACCCATCAACTCGCAATGTACACCGATCTGTGCACATGCAGCACAATGTACAGTTTCAGCATCTGCAGAAATAAACTCCCAAGTCATCTCGGCCTGGCCAATCAAAATGGCCACAGATCGAAACCCAGAAAATGTCTGGACAAAGGAGCAATAGGACACCACAAGTGCTGGAGTGTATACACTGATCAGACATAACTTTATAACCATTGAATGATAAGTGAATAACATTGATTGTCTCCTAACAATGGCATCTAAAAGTTGGTGGGATAAATTAGGCAGCAGGTAAACACAATGTCCCTGAGGCTGATGTGTTGAAAGCAGAAAAAAAATGGGCATCCTAGTTTATTGTGTACGGGGCTGTGTAGCTGCATAGAAGTCAGAGAGCTTATGCTGACCAGTGTGCACTGCCAAAAGTGCCTACAATGGGCACGTAAGCATCAGAACTGGAGCATGGAGAAATGGAAAAAGGTGGCCTGGTCTGACAAATCATGTTTTCTTTTATATCATGTGGATGGCGGGGTGCGTGTGCATTACTTACCAGGGGAAGAGATGGCACAAAGATGCAGTATGAGAAAAAAGGCAAGCCAGCAGAGGCAATGTGATGCTTTCGGCAATGTTCTGCTGGGAAACCTTGGTCTTGCCATTTATATGGTTTCTAGATATGTACCACCCACCAAAACATTGCTGCTGGCCAAGTACACTTCTTCATAGAAATGGTATTCCCTGACAGGGGTGGTTCAGGAATGATTTGAGGAACACAACAATGAATTTGAGATGTTGACTTTGCCTCCAAATTCTCCAGATCTTAATCCAATTGAGCACCTGTGGAAAGTGCTGGAACAACAAGTCCGTTCTATGGAGGCCGCACCTCAAAAAAACTTACAGAACTTAGAGGATTTGTTACTGACAGCTTCACGCTAGATACCCCAGCATACCTTCAGAGGTCTAGTGTCCATGCCACAACAGGTCAGGGCTGTTTTGCTGTAAAAATTTGGACCTACTCAGTATTAGGTCAGGACTTTATGGATGATTGGTGTAGTTCTAGTTATGCATCTGGAGTGAAAATATATGTCTCACCTTCAGTAATAACAGAACTTTGCCAAATGTTGCACTTGGCTGCCCAGGAATACAGGGACAAGTCTTTTTAACCTGTTGCACAGAGTTTTCTGAAGGAAAAGCTACCTAATTTGTGACTTATAGTTTTGCTAATTTCCCTGATAATTGCCTCCCCCTACCCCCCACGCTGCATAACACGCAGTGCATCTGCACATATAGTGAGGTGCTTGCTTCCAATTCCATAGAAAAATAGGTTGATAAGCCATTGGTCCCAAAGATTTTGACATTAGGAAAAACTGTACATTTTCATGCCCCTGCTTGCTCACCGCTTGAATTGGTACCCTTAAGCTGTCACAGTAGCACTAATGAGGCTTGTTTTTCATCACTTGTCAAAACACAGTATTGAAGCCCTTAGTCCCGCTTATGGGTAATCTTAATACTAAACCTCACCTGAATAAGAGAGGCCAGCAATATGCAGGAAGAGCTCCTCTTCAGAAAAACTTTCGGGTAACATAAGGAAAGCAGCAATGACAGCACTCTTCAGGTTCGTGTTCAGTGCAGTACGTAGCTGCTCATTCTCCTTCTGTACTAAGATCTTCACCTGCACAGAGGAATAAGACATAGCGTTGTCAATCATACCTCCTGATTCATGAACTGATGAAATCTGTCAGTAATTCCGGGAAAAGAAAACGTTACATATGACATTTATAAAACTGATCCGAGCTCTGATTATAGGATTTGCCCTTTACACCAAAGAGAAGTTAAGACAAGTTTCTCACACAGCTGTACAGTATTAGCTCTTGCATGCAAAGGTTTTAGTTTTAAAAATGATGGTGCCTTGGGGCATATAGAACATGAGTGGGTGGAATAGATGGTCTATTAAGTATTATTGTATTTAACAATAGAAGACATAAATCCTGCAGAAAACAGCAGATGAGTATAAATGAAGCTTAACAAAGGCATTTGCTGCTATCTAGTGGACGCTATAGGATTTACTGATAAAACTGAGCACTGTATTGCACATCAGGACAATATTTTCTATTGTATTGCATTTCAGAACAATAATCATTACTGTATATGATTAGTATATGAACAATTACATAGAAATGTTACAGCTATCCAATAAAATGGGACCCTTTCATTTCAACAGAAATGCAACTCCTTTTACACAAAAGGAAATAAGTTGGACATTAAAGCGGAGTTCTACCCAAAAGGGGAGGTTCCGCTTTAAAAACTGGTCCCCCCTGTTCCCCATTAAGGATTGGCAACTTTGGGGAGCGGGTACCCGAAATTGAGAGGTACCCGCTCCCACTGCGATCGCCTAGGCCAGTGGTGGGCAACCTTTTTTTTTTCAACTGAGCCAAATCTCGCCAAAACCACGATTGAAATTTATTTTGAGAGCCACATTTTTAAAACTGAAAATACATCCCCCATATAGTAATTCATCCCCCATATAGTAATTCATCCCCCATAGTAATTCATCCCCCATAGTAATTCATCCCCCATATAGTAATTCATCCCCCATAGTAATTCATCCCCCATATAGTAATTCATCCCCCCATATAGTAATCCATCCCCCCCTATAGTAATTCATCCCCCCTATAGTAATTCATTCCCCATATTGTGTCAATTCACTTACCTTTGCTCCGCGCATTCCTCTCGCCGTGTTCCCGCGCCGTTCCGGTCTTCAGGGCGGACTGTGAGAGGAGAGGAGTTCGTCACGCTGCCCTGCCTGCATCCTGACAGCCAATGTTTGCCACGCTCCGCGGGCCGGATTAAAAGGTCCGCCGGGCCGTATATGGCCCGCAGTTTGCCCATTGCTGGGCTAGCTGCAGAGTCCTGACTTTTGGGGCGGCCGCCCGAGAGGAGGGAGGGGAGCGGGCGCCCAGCACACAGAAGAGCCGCATTAAAGTGTGTAAACAGACGCATGTGGCTCGCGAGCCGCGGCTTGCCGACCACTGGCCTAGGCGATCAGAAGCAGAAGTTGTCCTTCTACCCTCTCTCCCCGTAGGACACGTGACAGGTCCCAGAAGATGACGGGACCTTTCAGGAAAGCGCAGCGCTACTCGCGCATGCGCAGTGGTCACCTGGCTGTGAAGCCGCAAGCAGTCACAGCCGGGTGCCCACACTGAAGATGCCAGCGCCTGGAATACAGGACAGCCGGTGAAACAGGCTGCAGCAGAAAACAGCAGATGAGTATAAATAAAGCTTAACAAAAGGCATTTGCTGCCATCTAGTGGACGCTATAGGATTTACTGATAAAACTGAGCACTGTATTGCACTTCAGGACAATATTTTCTATTGTATTGCATTTCAGAACAATAAATAATCATTACTGTATATGATTAGTATATGAACAATTACATAGAAATGTTACAGCTATCCAACAAAATGGGACCCTTTCATTTCAACAGAAATGCAAGTCCTTTTACACAAAAGGAAATAAATTGGACATTAAAGCGGAGTTCCACCCAAAAGGGGAGGTTCTGCTTTAAAAATTGTTCCCCCCGTTCCCCATTAAGGATTGGCACCTTTGGGGAGCAGGTACCAGAGAGGTACCCGTTCCCACTTCCGCTGCGATCGCCTAGGCGATCAGAAGCGGAGGTTGTCCTTCTACCCTCCCTCTCCGTAGTCTCGTGGGACACATGACAGTTCCCAGAAGACGACGAGGCCATTCAGGAAGCGCAGCGCTACTCGTGCATGTGCAGTGGTCACCCGGCTGTGAAGCCGCTGCTGTCACAGCCGGGTGCCCACACTGAAGATGCAGGCGCCCAGAATACAGGACAGCCGGAGAAACGGGCTGTGGCAGGAGGCACCGCGGGATCGTGGGACAGGTGAATGGCTGGTTTTTAAAAGTCAGCAGCTACAGTTTTTGTAGCTGCTGACTTATTTTTTTACAGAGTGAGTGGAACTCCACTTTAAAGTGGCACTAAACCCACTGATTTTAACAGTTTAAAAAACAGCAAAACTCCCAGCATGTCGGGAATGCCAAATGTCACGTTTGTGGTTTCAACCAAACTGTTAAAACCATGAACTGGCTGGTGTCATAACTGATCACATGTATAGTACCATAACAGCCTCAGATCAAACAGGGGCCAAGATGGCAGCTTTCTTGGCTGAAAAGGATAAGGAGGGTCTAGTTCTGCTGTAGATTTTAAATCAAATGGTTAAATGACATACTCTTGTTTTTTGACACAGGAGATCAACTAATACAGCTTTGCAGTTTTCAGAACCCAAATACACAAACAATGGGGTTGATTTACTAAAACAGCAGATCATGTTCACTTTAGCTCAGTGAATAAGGTGTAAAGACTACCCTATTATGACAAAATTGTAACTATAAGTATATATATATATTTTTTTTTTTTTTTTTTAGTTTTGCAGGGAGAGGGATTAGACCCCGTCAGTTTTTCTTGCTGTCTGTGGCATTAGGGATATTCATCCCCTCTATTAGTCCTGTTGATGGTTATCATCAAAAGTGAAAGTAAAAGAAAATCCCAAATTTTGGGTTGACATCAGAACACTAATATTATTACATTATAATTACTATTATTATAATACAGGATTTATTTAGTGCCAACAGTTTACGCAGTGCTTTACAAAATGAAGGTAGACATTACAGTTACAATACAAGAGGAAACAGAGGGCCCTGCTTGTTAGGGCTTACAATCTAAGAGAGAGAAAATCATTCAATGGGGACACTAGTTCTGGTGACACACTGGGATTCCCGTATGTTGGAGGGATTTCCAATCACTTTGTTTTGGCTATGGGACACAGATACACTATATTGCCATAAGTATTGGGACACCTGCCTTTACACGCACATTAACTTTAATGGCATCCCAGTCTTAGTCCGTAGGGTTCAATAATGAGTTGGCCCACCCTTTGCAGCTATAACAGCTTCAATTCTTCTGGGAAGGCTGCCCACAAGGTTTAGGAATGTGTCTATGGGAATGTTTGACCATTCTTCCAGAAGCACATTTGTGAGGTCAGGCACTGATGTCAGACTAGAAGACCTGGCTCACTGTCTCCAATCTAAATAGAACACCTTTGGGATGAATTAGATTGAAGTCAGAACTCTGTGCAGGCCAGTCAAGTTCCTCCACCCCAAAACTCACTCATCCATGTATTTATGGACCTTGCTTTGTGCACTGGTGCGCAGTCATGTTGGAACAGGAAGGGGCCACCCCCAAACTGTTCCCACAAAGTTGGGAGCATGAAATTGTCCAAAATGTCTTGGTATGCTTACGCCTAAACGGTCCCTTCACTGGAACTAGGGGGCAAAGCCCAACTCCTAAAAAGCAACCCCACACCATAATCCCCCCTCCACCAAACTTTACACTTAGCACAATGCAGTCAGATAAAACTTGTCCAGATTGCCAGACAGAGAAGCATGATTTGTCACTCCAGAGAACAAGTCACCACTGCTGTAGAGTCCAGTGGCGGTGCGCTTTACACCACTGCATCCGAAGCTTTGCATTGCACTTGGTGATGTAAGGCTCGGATGCAGCTGCTCGGCCATGGAAACCCATTCCATGAAGCTCTCTACGCACTGTTGTGCTAATCTGAAGTTTGAAGGTCTTTAGCTATTAACTCTGCAGACAGTTGGTGACTTCTGCGCACTGTGTGCTTCAGCATGTGCTGACCCCGCTCTGTCATTTTACAGTGGCCTACCACTTCATGGGTGAGTTTATGTTTACAGTTGCTTTCAATTTGTTATAATAATACCACTAACCGTTGACAGTGGAATATTTAGTAGCAAGGAAATTTCAGATGGACTTATTTCACAGGTGGCAACCTAACATAACATGCTTGATTTCAGCTCCTGAGAGAGCAATCCATTTTTTTTCACAAATATTTGTAGAAGCATTCTGCATGCCTAGGTGCTTGATTTTATTCACCTGTGGCCATGGAGGTGATTGGAACACCTGAATCCAATGATCTGGAGGGGGGGGGGGTCCCAATACTTTTGGCAATATAGTGTATATATAAAAGAAAAACAAAAAAACAAACCACAACACACACACACAAAAAAATGCGTTTAGTTACGTTTTAACCGCTTCTCGAGCACCCTATAGCAGAAATACTGCTAAAAAGGCGCCACACATGCGCAAAATCCTGTATATATATACACACGATTTTGCATTTCCGGGTCTTTGTATTTCCTACCCTTGCAACCATTTGTGGCCACGGCTGTCAATTACCGGGTCCCGGCAGGTAATTACTCCCCGACACCAGGTGATTTCTGACAATCTCCAATGGGGAGGAGAACTGGTTTGTTTACTAACAGTTCTCCTCCCTATCAGCTCGGGCACACTGATCATCCAGAGAAGTGTGATTACAGTGAATCACACAGACACAGCCCCCTGGTAAAACACTCCTTGCAAACAGTTAACCCTTTGATCGCCCCTCATGTTAACCCCTTCCTAATCAGTGCCATTAGTACAGTGTCAGTGCTTTCTTTTTTAGCACTGATCACTGTATTGGTGTCACTGGGGATGTCAGTGACACCAAGTCAGTTCCCCACAGTGTCAGAATTTTCCGCCGAAGTCCCACTATAAGTCACTGATTGCCGTCATTACTAGTAAAAATTAAAAAAAA